AATGCCGACTTCTCTTTTGATTAATGAAAATCTGAAAAATAAAGTGATATCCTTGAGTTACAATTCTCATTAACTGCAAAATCAGAGCTGGAACCCAAGTCTCCTTACTTCTCCCCAAACTGCAAGCTATACTCAAAATTCTGTTCTTTTTCACACTTAAATATCTGCCATGATTTTGTTAAAAGCTAGGATTTAAAGAAACTTCATGTTTATGAATTATTATAACAAAGTATAAGGCATTATCATTAGAATTGTCCATATATAAAAGCATTAAAGTGAACATAAATTATTTACTTTTCTTATTTAAAAAATAAGATTTTAATAGCTGAAAAAATTTCTTAAATTTGTATTGTAATCATGGATATAGTAACCTCCCACCCCATTTTAAAAAAAATGCTTAAATAAAACTAAAGAAGAATGCACCTTGCCAGGTATCTTGGTAGTGAACATAATTTGTGGCACCTGAGAAACTCAAAGATGGAAAAATTTTTTCCTATGGTACTTCTGGGGCAGTGGCATGAGCTGACAGGAATAGCCTTTATAAAATTTACGCTGGGAAGCAAGTTAAACATTTTTAGTAGAGGTCTTTCCTAACGTCCAGTTCTAGAAACAGTACAGGTAGAAAGGAATTTATAAGTTTCTTTGAAAAGACAGCCAACCTGTATACTATAATCCATGGTTACTAAGGCTGGAAATTTTTAGGACAAAGCTATTATAAAATAGAAGTAAGACAAATGTCACATTATTTATATCACCCAAACTTCAAGTAATAATCAGATTATTTTGAATACTAAATAGCATTACTAGGAGAATTTGTAGCTTTCCTGTTTAAAAGGAAGCATTCAAATTCTTAAGATCTGCCAGAGTTTTCTTCTATCAAAATTTCCTTTAAAACAAATAGACTTTCAATCAGACAAAGCTTTTTCTCTAGGGTCTACTCTAGACTAAAATGTGATGAATTGAAAGAAAAAAAGTACTGACAAATTTGCTGGCTCATTCAAATAAATCAATTGGAAAGAGTTATAGATTAAGTTAAAAGTGAGTAGTGTGAGGAAAATGGAAAAGGTTTAGTTTTTTTAAAAAATTTAGAATGATAGAGTAAGAAATTCCATGTATAATGTAATTTTTGACAACATAAAAAATAGCTTGTAATTCTTATACAGGGCATAAGGTGGTGCTACATTCTACTAATTCAGGTAAATTCACATAAAAGAAAAAAGAACTGTTAATTCATTTGTCATATACAAATTTTACTTATTTTCATTCACAATGTATAAGAAAATGCTGAAAAGCACAAATTGAAAATAGTAAAGTCGAAAATTCTAGCTATCAAAAAATAAATATTAGTAAAGTTACATTTTTCTTAGAACACCTTAGGAACATAATTTGTTTTGACATAAAATTCTGTATTATTATTAAAACTTAAGGTGAGGTAGAATTATTATGCCATCAGCACTATCATCATTACTGTTGTTTTTTATAAAGATACATCTATGTCACATACTTATTAGGAAGCTATTTCTTTTCATTAAGACGAGTAGGTAGTTACTGAACTTTTTGTTATTAAAGAATTATAAACTGTATATACTTGAAAACAAAGGTAATTTTAGATGATTTATAAAGGGAACACTTGATATGGATTACCACTAACTGACAAGTAGAATTGATCAGCATTTTAAAAATATGAGAAACTTTTGTTAACAAAATTATTACTGGGAACCTTCACAAAAAAAATTAGACAACCATTTCTAAATACAAAAAAAAATGTTTGTATTTGCATTTTTTTATATAGATAGATAAATATATAACACTAGTGGCCTGGTGCACAAAATTTGTGCACGGAGGGGGGGGGGTTCCCCTCAGCCCAGCCTGCATCCTCTCCAGTTGGACATCCCTCTCACAATCTGGGACCACTGGCTCCTAACCGCTCACCTGCCTGCCGGCCTGATCTCGCCCCCAACTGCCCTCCCCTGCCGGCCTGATCTCACCCCCAATGGCCCTCCCCTGCTGGCTTGATTTCGTGCCCAACTGTCATCCCCTGCTGGCCTGATTGCCCTAACTGCCTCTGGCGCAGCCCCCACCACCATGGCTTTGTCTGGAAGGAAGTCGGACGTCCGGAAGATGGCTGGTTGACCTGGTCTAATTAGCATATTACCCTTTTATTAGTATAGATATTTTATACAACACACATATGCATACGTACATCCATACATATATGTCAAATATATATGTAGGTATAGTCTTAATTAGGAGTCTGGATATAGGAAGTTTTGCATCTCTGGAGCTTACCACTCATCATTTGGGGTTTTCTCTAATTCTAGTCATGACTGGCAATTGAAGCTATTCCTCTCTCAAAGAAATATTCCTGACACTCCTTGCACATTGTAAATCCTAAGCAAATGGATACACTAGAGGATTAAAAAATAATAGTGATACAGTACCTATGTTTGGCCTATAGAAACTAATACATACATAGTCCCTATAAGGGTCTTATTTTCTTCCTATAACTCAGGTCCCTTATCAATTGTTTGGATTAATGGTTTAAAATTTGGTTTATATGTACCCCATTAAAACAATTTTCTAATTTCTGAAAAGACGCTTCTTCTCCCAATTCCATACTTCTCCATTCCACTTGAAATTGAGGTACCCAAACTTGTTTAAAATAGATTTAAAGTATTTGAGTAAATATGATTTAACAATTCTTTTAGCAACTTATTCTATCAATCTCAATTAAAACAAATTATACATTATACTCATAACCAAGTACTTCTCAGAGTTGTTATGAAACTCAAGAAATATATACGATTTACAAGATTTATAAAGTAACTTCGAAGTAAAATGCAAACAAAGAACTGAATCCTGCTGAATAACAAAAGAATCATGGATTTTTAAAAAAATTATTTTTAGCTCATCTAAGAAATATGAGAGAGTAAACAACATTGGTTTAAATGTTGACAATATGCTGTCTTCTTTTATTCCTTAAATCCTCCTAGTATCTTTTACCTAATTCCCAATTATCATCAGCACCATTCCTTGCTCTTAACGTCTTAGATGCAAAACTTAAGTAGTCTTTTGTTATACAGTCACTGTGGCTTACATACTAATTTTGGCATTGTCTATTAGCTCTGTCCCTCCCTTAGTATGTTCAGGTACTTCCCTAACTATCATTATAAGTCTAACTATCATTACTTTGTTTTACTTTTCTTCTCTTTCACTTCTTTTTTAATTGAACTTATTGGGGTGACATTGGTTAATAAAATGATATAGGTCTCAGGTGTAAATTCTATAAAACAGCAACTGTATATTGTATTGTATTGTATGTTCACCACCCCAAGTCAAGTCTCCTAACTATCACTACTTTATATCTGAATAACTCTATCAGCTTCTCAGATAGTCTTCCTAAGGTAAGGTCTCTGTACACAGTATACAATAGAATAACTTTTCTTAAATTATACTTTTATTATGTTACTCCTTTATAAAGATCTATAGATGTTTCTTAGTTCTGTAATAATATTAACAATACTATTATTTATTAAAGTGAACACTATGTCCCTGGCACTGTGCTAAATGCTTTATATATGTTAGATGATTTAATATTTCAAAAAGGACACTAAATATAATTATTCCCAATTTATAGATTAGGAAACTGAGACTCAGAAAGATTGCTGACTAATTTGCTAAAGGTCACACAGTTATTAATTGAGAAAGCTAAGATTCAAGCAGCACTTACATTAGTGCTTGGCACAGAGTGGTCACTCAATAAATATTTGTTAAATAAATTAATAAATAAATGAAATACTATGCTATATTACATTGGTATATTAATAATCTAATGAAAATTTTCATTTTTTAAAATTCAAGACCCATATTTTATAACTAAACAAAATAGCTGGCATACACTACCTTTCTATTAAGTAATTGTTGAATAAAATTAAATTAAAGGAATTGTTTGATATGGGCCCAACTAATAAGCGCATGATATAGAGAAAAAGTTTTACTATGGCTTTAATATAATCCATATTAATATTTATTTATCTTTCTCTTTACACTAGCTAAACTTATATTTATTTATACCTTGAATCAGGTAAACCACAATTATTTAAATAAGTTAATTTTATTAACATCTAATTTAGTTTCAAAATACAAAAAGCTTCTATTAGTGGAAAATAATATTGCTGGTACACAAAATATTGTATGTGAACATGTTGGACATACACACCAAATTGCTTAGGGTGTATAGCTTCCTAAACAGTCTGAACAAAATTCCTTGGAGATAATGTTTTAAAATTTTAATATAGAACAAATGTCACTGTCTAGCAATTTAAAGATATAAGGGACTTCAGAGTTCAATTACAAATACAGAGTTGTTATTTGAAACAAAAATGTAGCTCTTGAGAACAATCAGTTCAGTTTTCTAACAGCAGTTATAGTATGTGGTCATAACCATTTTTCCCCCTTTTACAGAGGTCTCTAGGTACACATTTTTAATGTATCCTAGCAGTTTCCAGTTAATGTTTTATATTTTTGTAGCTATTATTTTCTGTTGAAAGAAAACTGGTAAAGGTTGAATCTAGAAAGGGAAAACAAAGGAAGAAGATCAATATTAACACTCTACAAATATTGACTTAGCAAAGTGACTTTGTTGTCTTTCTCTCATAGGAATTGATATTAAATGAATGATTTATGTATAAGAAACACCTATGAAAAGTATTTGTTAAAACAAAAAAATTGCTTGGTAAAGTAATTAGATAATCTGTTCATCAAATTCGAAAATTGAAGAGTGAACATCTTCAAACTGAAGACCTTTTAATAATATTCATCATTTTCACTTTAAAATATTAGAGCTGGTTTATAGGTAGAAATGCTGCAATCTACAGAAAAGCCTCAAAAATTCATGTCACAAATTTTACTGGTTCCCTGTAGACACCAAATAGTTATTAATAAACTTTATGTCAATTTTTTTTAGAAAAACTCTTATCTATTAATTTAAAATACTATACCTTTATTGAGTTTGGCTCAGTTAACTTTGAGTTTCGGTTACTATTAGCCTCCATGGTAATTGTGAAAGAAACAGATATTTTGAGCTTTCTGCTTGTTGCCAGTAAAGAACTCCTGGAATCACCTGCAACAAGTAATAGTTATTTGGTCTCCCAATATTAAAAGCTGTCAATAGAAAGTTTGTTGTTAAATACAAAGTAGCATAAGTGGTCTAATTATTAATTTTGTTCTCTTTGTTCTTCCTATTGAAATAAAGTCAGAAGTTTTATATTTATCAAACTTTAAAGGTCCCTAATTTATGGGCCACTAACAAGATTCTTTATTTCAATATGTCATCTTTTAGCTTGAATTTTAGTTTTAATAAAATATAATGAGCACAGTCAAATCAAGTTCCATTATAAAATTTTACTTCAATAGATTTTTACAGCTAAGAGAGTCTAAAAATGATAGCTAACAAAAGTTGGATTCTCATTTGTTTTATCACTAGTAAGTGAAGATGGAAGGAAAAATTTATCTGAATATAACCCTACATTCTTGATGAAAAAATTCTTAGTTCATAGCAGCATTATTTACAATAGCCAAGATCTGAAATCAGCCCAAGTGCCCATCAGTAGATGAGTGGATAAGAAAGCTGTGGTACATTTACACAATGGAATACCACACAGCCATAAAAGAAGGAACTCTTACCTTTTGCGACAGCATGAAGGACCTGGATAGTATTATGCTAAGTGAAATAAGCCAGTTAGAGAAAGACAAATACCATACGATCTCACTTATATGTGGAATGCAATGAACAAAATAAACTGGCCAACAAAATAGAACCAGAGGCATGGATACATGGAACAGATTGACAGCTGTCAGAGGAGGGAACTGGATGAAAGAAGGTGAAGAGAATTAGCCAAAGAACATACTATATCCATAACCCATAGACACAGACAACAGTGAGGTGATGGCCAGAGAGAAGGGGGGCCAGGGAGCAGCTAAAGAGGAGGGGAAATGGGGACATCTGTAAGAGTGTCAACAATAAAGTTTAAAAAAAAGTAAATACCTTTGTTTGAGAATGTTTCCTGATCAGTTTTTCTTATGATTCTAGGCGATGGTTTTGGTACTGGTGATGGGTCCCTTTCAGGGAACCCTTCAATGTGGCTTCCAAACTGTTGACGCCTCAGTTTGCTGTCAACCTCCAGTTTTTCTAGAGTAGTTTTGAGACACTGCTCATTGGTTGTCATATATAATTTACAAAACTACAGGAAATAAGAAAGTAGTCCAGTTGCTAAAACAGTCAATCATACATTTGGGAGGAGAAAGCAAATGCACATTAGTAGGCAAGGAATAGACTGATAGATGGAATATGTTTCCTATTGAACAAGGGTACTCATTTTATTTTCTTGAGTCAGACTGACCACCCTCAAGTGACCTAGTGAAATGCAACCATGATTCATTGAGGAAGGCATACTCTGGGTGAAAATAAAATGTTACACAAAGAGAGGTGGTTTATTATTATTTTTTTACAACACATGTAGACTTGCATTTGTTCTAAGTAATTTTATGATTCTTCCACCCCAGAAAAGCATATACCTGAGGAGTCTCTGTTTTTGCATGGGTACATTGTGTGAATGTGCATGCATTTAACTTGGTTATATTATTTTAATGTAGTCATTAGATTACAATTGTGGGAATGGAGAGGTTAAATTTCAAGTACAATCAGTACACAATATACAAGTATGTTATTGCCAACATTAAAAAAATGTGCTCTTTTAAAAACACTTCTACATAGTAAGCAAATTTACATCAATGTGAACTTATGTACCTTGATGTAGTCAAATTTGCCATCAGCATTTACATCGGCCAAATTTATTACAGCATTTACTTCTTCTCGAGTCATCTTCTCACCTTTCTGAAAAAACAATATTTATTTCAAAACAACATGACTATTACTTTGCTATGCATGGGGAGAGTGGAAATTCATTTTAATCTTTTCTATAAGTTTGACTACATGGTTTCCTTATAAATCTCAGAATGAGTACTCTGTCAAGTAAGAATAAAACATATAAAATAAAATTTCACAATTTTATAAAATTTTGTAAATGTGTGCTGAATTTCAATATACTAAATTTGAACAATGTGTAACATAGATCCAGTAATAACTATTAAAATTATAATAATGATACCTTCTTACATTGTACCAAGAAAGAGAATCAACTCTGAATCCCATTAATACTTTGTTTCTCTTTTATTTATCACATATGAATCACTGATTTACAGAGTTCTGAGCAGGAAAAGAATTGCATGGAAACACAAGGGGATTGCAAAGTGGGCTCAATTTTACACTTTATCTTTTATTTAAAAAGCACCTTTCATCCAGAAGGATCCTTAGGTACTTTATTAACAACACATATATGATTCATTTCACCTGCCAATGAAATCGTTATTTTTAATGTGGACTTTGGTTGCCAAAAGCAGATTCCAAGTTTTTGCAAAATACGCATATTACAAAACTGTTTCACAGATCTTACCTTTGTTAGAAGTTTATAAAGGTCAGTGTGTAAAATAGAGCCATCATCATTTACATCTAATTGTTTAAATGATTTTAGCAGTTCTGCTTTTGAAGTAGGTTTTTCCTTTCTTAAAATCATACAAAAATCATCAAAATTCAGTTTGGCAGTTTGAGGAGTCCAATATTTATCAATAGTCTTTTGGGATGGATTTCTTCCTGCATGCTGAAGAGCTGCCCAATAAAACAAGTATTATTTTTAAAGTAACATTTGGAATTGGTACTTAAGTATATTTTTTCTTTAAATCATTATATACTAGAGGCCCGATGCATAAAATTCGTGCAAGGGTAGGCCTTCGCAGCCCTGGCTGCCCTGGCCCTCGCAGCCCCGCCCCCCTGCCCACTGGTCATTCTGGAAGGATATTCAGCTGTCTGGTCTAATTAGCATATCAGCTTTTATTATATAGGATTACAATATTATATAAAAGTACACAAATACTGCCGAAACCGGTTTGGCTCAGTGGATAGAGCGTCGGCCTGCGGACTGAGGGGTCCCGGGTTCGATCCCGTCAAGGGAATGTACCTGGATTGCGGGCACATCCCCAGTGGGAGATGTGCAGGAGGCAGCTGATCGATGTTTCTAGCTCTCTATCTCTCTCCCTTCCTCTCTGTAAAAAATCAATAAAATATATTTTTAAAAAAAAGTACACAAATACAAATATATTACCTTTGATTTTGCTAATATATAGTTGTGAGTATGTGAAATAGTTTATTCTTGTATTATTATTAATTACTGTATTATTTTCTATATGAATAACCTACTTTTGCTCCAACATATATATATATAAATATATATGTATAAGTATATATATATATCCAACTAAAGATTATTGATTTATTAATGCCAGAATTAAATAGATTTTTCCTATTCTGACAGGTTTTTCTCAACCTACAGGGTTTAATTAACTTATTTATTTCATAACAGTGCTTGGAGAAAAGAAAAGATTAAAAAACACCCATCTACTTGATTGTTTTGAGGACATAAGAATAACCATAAAATCATAAATTATTACTTTTTCTGGTTCAACAAATATCTTAATGTAATAAAGAAATAATTAGTTTGACAACAGTACTGTCACCAAGGCATGATATCTAAAATGTTCATCATTGCTAGATATTATAATTTCAAGAACATCATGCCCCAAATGTCAAATATAGGCACAAAAAATATCTAGTTACAGCTATAGCCCTACTAAAAATCAAGAATGTCAACAAACTTAAGGGAAGACAATTGTAGAGCTACAATGGTCAAACCACTTTTTATTTTTATCCAGAACATTTGAAAATAATCCTGTAGCCAGGCCAGTGTGGCTCAGTGCTTGAGTGTTGACTCATGCACCCAGAGGTCACTAGTTTGATTCCAAATCAGGGCACATGCGTGGGTTTCGGTCTTGATCCCAACGAGGGGGCATATATATTTTTCATATATATATATATATATATATATATATATATATATATCTCTATATATATATATTAGAGACATCTGTGAGTCCATTATATTGAACTTTCACTGTGCACAGGCGTGACACAATATGATTTTTTTTTTCAGAGATACAAGCTTCTTGGCTCCTAAGTTTTATAATTTCAATAGAAAGTGCACACCTGAAGTGTAAAATTGCTACCTGTGGTCATGATGTATAGTTAATAACATATTAGAAGTCCATAGACCAAGAGAAATGTTCCCATCCTCCAGATTATACTAGTGCATCATTTCTAGACAAAACTTTGGCACAGAAACAGAAACAAGTTCATCATCTAGAGGTGCCTTTCAGAGCTACAAAAGGTGTAGCTGTAGTAATTGACATCTTCTGTTCACCTAGAAAGCCTTTGTGGAAATTTGTAACAGTGGAGATAATATAAATTTTTTTTATTTCCACAGGTTTATTCTGGATGTGGACAAAAATACTGATTACCATGCTGACCTAGGAATAAAGAGCAGTATTTTGCCTAGTTTATAAATGGACAATTCCTTAATTCATCTATCAAGAAAATAAAGATAAATGTTTTAGTACTCCATCCCCAGCCAACCTTTACCCTTTAAAACCAGCACGTCAAACTCGCTGCCCACAGGCCACATGCGGCCCAATACGAATATTTATGCGGTCCAGCCAATATAACAGTGTGTAAGAAACGTTTTAATAAAAATTTTGTAACTTAATTTTTACAATAGCCTGTTATACATAATTATTAATAACAAACTACAACATTTGCTAATGACTGGTTACTATAATCATGTTGCATTCATTTCCCTTATGCGACTTATGTGCAGGCGCACCATTTCTCTCCACTAATACTAGCAGCAAATATTTTAGCAGCTGATTGCCACGTCAATAGTCTTGGACTGACTTGTTTGGTGTGTGCAACAGGAAATATTTCACTTTCAGAGAACAAGAAAAATAGGATTATTTGCATGGTGCTTATTAATTTTGTGCAGTTATTCAGTGTCTGGTAAGGTAATGTTCAAGAAAAAATATTAATTTTTATTAAAATGTTCTATTACTTTATGTTAACGATTACTCATTTATTTCAGCCCTTTGTATTCAGCATGTCTCTATCGAAATAAACCTACGTTCCTATGAAAATTGAAGCTTTTGTTTTTTTGCGGCCCACATAAACTTGGCCCGTGTTAGCCTTTGAGTTTGACATACTTGCTTTAAAAGCTGGGAATACACTCTAGTCGGTTTTGCTCAGTGGATAGAGCTTTAGCCTGTGGATTGAAGGGTCCCAGGTTTGATTCCAGACAAGGGTACATGCCTGGATTGTGGGCTCGATCCTCAGTAGGAGGCCTGCAGGTGGCAGTCTATCAATGATTCTCTCTCTTCATTGATGTCTCTATCTCTCTCTCCCTCTCCCTTTCTCTCTGAAATCGATAAAAATATATTTAAATAAATAAGTGCTGGGAATAGAAGTAGGACCCCAGTGAAGTTACTTGAAGTTAAAAGCCCAGGTAAAGAAATGGTATTTCGTCCAGTTTTGAAACCTCTTTCCCACAAGCATATGCTTGTTGCTATCTTCAATAACACAATATTTTAAAAGATACTGTTACTTACAGAACAATTTTTCTCAGAATAAAACTCATTATGCCCAAAACATGTACTCAGTAAGTTAAGAAACAGGTATAATTTAGTAACTTCTAACCTAATTTTAATCAGGTTACACACCACATTTTTAAAATCTAGATTATGTGAAATCAGTCATTACAATGCTACAAAGAGTATTCCACCATAAAACCAAAAGTGTGTATAATACTGAAGTGACAAAAACTGCATTATTATCCTCCCAGGTAATTCTATAAGACTGATAACACCTTAGTAATACCTATTCATTGATTAACAAACTAAATGCCATGTAGCAGAAGGCATGTTAAACTTTTGTGATCTCAGCCTATTTTCAAAAGAATAAAGAGAAAAAAACTAAAACTATAATTTACAGTAAAACATAAACTATGTTATATTCCACAAAATGGATTTCCTCAAATAGAGATCTTACAGCATACAAACCCAAGACATTGCAAAAATATGTCAGATTTTTTATTAAAGGAAACTGCCTCTAAATTTGTCAAAATAATTCAGTTTCTCTACTCAGAAAGTTATTAGCCTTGATGAAAATAACTTGTGTATTCAGTGTTGTTGTATACCACTCTCTTAAGTCTAAAGACCTCCAAATTATTCGATTCAGCTAGTAAAAACCAATTCCTTGCTTGAGGAGATATTTGCAACCAGAGGAATTCAAAATACAATGGAGAGAAGCAAAAAAAGACCAACCCTCCACCCACACACAAAACCAAGCCAACCCAAACCCAGAACTCTTAATTCTCTTAAAATTTCAGTTATTGCCCTGGCCGGTTTAGCTCAGTGGATAGAGCGTCAGCCTGCGGACTGAAGGGTCCCGGGTTCGATTCCGGTCAAGGGCATGTGCCTTGGTTGCTGGCACATCCCCAGTGGGGGGTGAGCAGGAGGCAGCTGATCGATGTTTCTCTCATCGATGTTTCTAACTCTCTATCCCTCTCCCTTCCTCTCTGTAAAAAATCAATAAAATATATATTTTTTAAAAATTCAGTTATCTACACTAATAATAGACAAATATGTAAATTGGCTGTACCTTCGCAACACCCCACAGTCAATCAGGAGTATGCAAATTAACCCGACAAAGATGGCGGGCCTGTGGGCAGCGCGCACACGCCCAGGCACCAAGTGGCTGGGGGCGGGGGGGGCCATGGCGATGACGCAGGCATTCCGCACTGCCCCAGCTGCTCTGGGCCTCTGGGCAGCGTGGGAAGGCGGAAAGGCAGCTCCGGGACAGAGTGAAGGCAGAAGGGCAGCTCCGGGCCAGAGCGAAGGCAGAAAGGCGGCTCCAGCCGAAGCGAAGGCGGTGCCAGCAGCCAGGGGAAGGAAGACCCATTCTTGCACAAATCTTCGTGCATTGGGCCTCTAGTCTATATATATAAAAGCTGAAGCAACTGTTAGAACCGGACAACTGGCCGGTAGCTATGACGTGAACTGACCACCAGGGTAGCTATGACACGCACTGACCACCCTCAACGCAAGAGCTGTCCTCTATGGTCAGTGCACTCCCACAGCCAACCTCCTGCGGTCCCTCCCCCCGCCGGCTGGACCTGATCAGCCCCAATCGCCGGACAGGCCGAGGGACCCCACCCGTGCACGAATTTGTACACGAGGCCTCTAGTTTCCTAATACTTTTCTTTTATAGCTATTCACCCCATTTTTATATATCCTTTACATTTTCCTTAATATAGGTCAAATTCAGAGTAGCTATTCAGATGCCAAAAGTGTTTTAATTCTATTGTAAATCTTCCTGTACCAAAATGAGAATTTAAAAAAATTTGAAAGCAAGTAATTGACAGGTTTAAAAGTTCAATTCTATCCTGCATAAACATTGAAAGTTTTATTTTGAAGATCCTACAATATGTAACTATATAAAATAGCATAATGTAGTAGTTCCATTGCTCAAACAACTAAAATTGGGATGATTTGACAACATAATTCTAATTCCAGTCTTTCTGATTTAATTAACTTTCAACAAATAAGGCAAAATACTTTTTTTTTTTTACCTAAGTAAAGTTGATCTTTAGAAATAATGTTTTCTAAGCTGCTTTTGAAAACAGTTAAGTAGGCAGCTCTACAGTTCATATAAAATATCTCCTCTTCAGTTAGTGGATATTTCTTTGCTCGAGGACTCTCGGAAAGCGATGATTTCTGACTGGAGAAGGCTGCATCACTTCCTGGACTGATGGCCATTCTACTAAAAAATAATTTTAAAAACTGGTTTAGTAAATGTTAATCCCCTAAAGTGCAAATGTCATCTTGCCTTTCAAATGGGAGTGGGAGGATCAAGACATTAAAGTTTTTAGTTGTGAGGGGGAAAAAAATGAACATTATAATATGCATAAGGTTGTATTATCTAGTAAACTAGAAAAGTTTCTGCTTTATTAATATACATGTATATACCAAAGAACAAAACCAAAACAAAGATGTAACAAATACAAAGAAGAATCATAGGAAAGGAAAAACCTACATCTATTCTCTCAAAATAACAGGACAGTCAGTTAAGACTCTTCATAGGATTGTCATGAGGATTAAATACTAGTAAGTTAATATATGTGAAGCATACAGAACAGTGCTTGGCACAAATTAAGTGCTAAAGAAGCTGTACATAGAGTGAAACTCCACAGTAACAAGAACGTGGATGTAATGTGATTGGCAGTTGGCATCCATCTCCACAGCAGGATCAAGCAGGTCATTTCACTAACCTTTCAATAATGCAGCCCCACATTTTACATGACTGGTTTTTAAAAATCCCATTTATAGTGTTATGAGATGTTACTGTTCCATTACTAACAATAATGTTTTGGGTTTATATAACACCTCTGTCCATAAGAGCTTAAAAAACTGTCATACATCATGATGTGTCCCTACTACAGTGGTCAGGTATTTTTAGTCCATTTTACAGATGAGAAAATTGAGGGGCACAGAGTCGCCAACTGAACAGTCGGTAGCCAAAGTCAGTAAATTTCAGTGACCGTTTCTTCTTTATTAATGTGCATGAAGGCTTCTTGTACAATAGTTACAATGAGGCACTAAATCGTGCTGGCCGTCTAACAGCTTCCAACATTATTTTACCCAGCTTTGACTTTAAAAAATACATTCCAGCCTAATAAATTGAATATTTCAAGTTCAACAATAAGACGACACAGGTAGGGTCCCCTTCAGGACTCATTGGATTCTTACTCAAGAGGCCTAAATCACTTGCACCTTCTTGAATTATATAGGTCTTTTACACTTGGGAAAGAAAGATAATAATCGCTTATCATGGATGAAGTACCCTATTTATAATACACAGACCGCCTGCCTGACACTTTCCTATTACACCAGATTTAGAAGGACCCCATAGGGACGTGGTGTCACAGTCTGGTTACTGCAAATTGGTATCACGATAATTAAGCATCAGAGTTTTAAACACATATGCGTCCACGCATCTCCTCCAAAAAAATGGGAAAGAAAACCGTTCCAACGAGGACGAGAGGACGTGCATTTTGCAGCAAGCAATTTTAAAATGTGATGGGTTTTATTTATTTATTTATTTATTTATTTATTTGGATTGTCTTCGAATACTCTTTCCAAATAAGGTGCCTCCCTCCCGTGGAAATCCCCCCGGCAGAAATGGTCCAGAATTCTATTCTATTTCCCTTTCTGTGAGGGGAGCCGAAACTAGGCTTAAATAAATATATAACTGGACCCCCCTCAGGCTTGGAAACCTCCTTCATTTAAAACTCCAGCCCGAGCGCCAGGCAGGGGCCTAGAGAGCACATTGCAGCAAACGGCTCCATCAATAACCAGCCGCACGGTAGCGAGAAAAATAAACGAACAAGCGCCTCGGGCTTTTCCAGGGCCGAGTGGAAACAGAGCGCCAGCCACACCGTCCCCACGCGGAGAAACATGTGCACAGCTGATCCCGGGCAGCATCGCTGTCTTTCTGTATTTCTCAGAGCATGAGCCTGCATTTATGTGTACATTTCAGGTCCCGCCGTGCACCCGGTGTTAGTATAACAGAGAAGGTAACGAAGCGGGTGGGAGGAAAGCCGAGCAGTAAGGGACACGACGCGCAGAGAGAGCCCGCGGCTCGATCGCTACCTAATTGCAGTTTACAGACGAACGGGCGCGGCCAATTCTCTGCACGGATTCCACGATCCGCTCACCGAAGCCGGACGGACCTCGGCCTTTCTCTAATTACCATGGCAACTGCACCTCTCTGCCACCGGAAATCAGACACAGCGCACCTCCCAAAAAGGTCCGGCTAGGAATCTAGGGATCGTTAATCCACAGTGGTCCGAGACGATCCTGTTGCTCCTCCATCCGGGGCTGGTATGGCCAGCATCGTGAGCGAGGGTCCTGGGCTGCACTGCAAGGGGCTGGATGCGGTCTCTGACCTACACCCCCGCCTCCTTTCCCCGCAGGAACTCGGATGCGTTGTCGCGGGTCTGTGTTTCCGGCGGGCTACATTGAGTGTGACACCTCGTCGACGCCGGCTCGCCCGCGCTTTTCAGGCTCCGCGTTTCCTCCGGGAGGTTCTTTCTGTCTGCGGAGGAGGTTGCTCGCTTAGTTTGGTCCAGCGGCAGTGGTCCTTCCCTCAGTGTGGAAATGCCGTAGGTATCTCCGTCCAGGCATTGCTGTTTGTCGGGCCCCTCTGCGAGCCTGGAGAGTTTGTGTGTGTTTTTAAGTAACCTTTTGTGTTTTTCTACTTTTCTGAGTATAAACTTGTCTCGTCCGCCGACAGTTCCTGGTGCTTACCCACTTGATACCCTCAACCCACCTCTGCCCACCTTCCAGCCGCAGTTAGGTGGTAGCCTTGGTCCACGTTAGTCCTGACTCTCCACGGCCTTTGACTGGGTTTATAGGCTGTGGGCTGTAGCCTGTGATGTATTTTAGCGCTTGAAGTAATTCCAGATATGGTCAACATACCAAGAATGGGATGGAGTCGATTGAACACGACACGTCATTTGACGATGCCCATGAGTGTGGTGAGTTCCCACAAACTTATAGGGCAACTCAAGAACTGGGCCTGGGGGACTCTTTCCGCCTCCCCACGTGGGAGTCTGTACTTGTTCTTCAATAAATTTCCACCTTTTCTGTGCAACAGAAAAGAACTGGGTCTCAAGAGACCTGCATTCCAGCTATGAAAGGAGGAAGCGTAGCCAATTCTGGCGTCAGTTTCCTTATTGCTGCTGTATAGAAACTTTTAAAAAGTTCAGGAAATAAGTTTTTCTTTGGGGTGGAGGGATTCCTATCTAACACGTGAAATTTTCTGGCAGTCCTTGTCCCCAGGTTGACTTAGGTACCCCCTCCTGTGCATTTCTGAAGTAACTTACTTATTCCACTATTATTTTTAGATTTGAGCCAAATGCAAAGCAACACAGAGGGGGAAGTATTTGTATTAAATAAGAATTGACATGAAAGTGGAAAGAATGTAAAGAAATAATTTGGCTCAGTGGATAGAGAATTGGCCTGCAGACCTAAGGGTCCTGGTTCAATTCTGGTCACGTACCTCGGTTTGTAGGTTCCCCCTCCACCTCCCCTTAGTGCCCCAGGGGAGAACCAATCTCACATGGATGTTTATCTCTGTCTTTCCCTCTCTCTTCCAATCTCTCTAAAAACCAATGGAAAAATATCCCCGGGTGAGGATTAAAAAAGAAAAAGAAAAAAAGAATAACCTACATTTCTTGAATCCTTGTGATCTGGTACAGTTTTAAGAATCTACCTACATATTCTCATTGAATCCTAAAAAATAGTACCTTTAGGAGGTACTATTATCTATAATTTCCAGATAAGAAATAGGAGGTATTATTATCTATAATTTCCAGATAAGAAAACTCAGCACTAAATATGGTGTCCTACACAATATCAATAAATGTGTTTCACTTATATCCTTTTTTAAAAAGTACATTTTTATTGATTTCAAAGAAGGAGGGAGAGGGAGAAAGAAAGAAACAATGATGAGAGAGAATCATTGATTGGCTGTCTCCTGCACCCCCACACTGGGGCTACAGCTCAAGGTGACCTCCTGGTTCATAGGTCTATGCTCAACCATTAAGCCATGCCTGCCGGGCCAATTATATCCTTAAAAGTTAGGATTATTGAAAAGGTTTTGCTTCCCCCAGGATTAAGCAAGAAGACTTGTCTTCCTATTGCTGCACTTTAAAAAAAATCCAGTTAGCACTTTTGTGAACCTTCAAGGATAATGTAGCAAAAGTCCTACTAAATAGGAATACAATGGAAACTGGTGTGCATTTGCTTAGTAAGTGGTGATAACTATGATACCGTTCTGTATAGATAGTGGGGAACCAAAAAACTATTAAAAGTGGAACTTTTGGATAATTGTTTTCCTAGCATACTAACAGGTACATGTTATATTAGAAGAGTTTGTGGTACAGATATTCTGACAATAAATATGTAACCTTAAAGTTGAGGTTGACGTCATAGGACATACTAGTATATCTGACACAAATTTATTTTTAGAGTATACTAGTATATATAAAGAATTCTTACAACTCAACAGTAAAAAGACAAAAACCTTATTAAAATAAAGGCTCAAAGACTTGAACCAATACCTAATAAAAAGGTTTATGGCCCTAACCGGTTTGGCTCAGTGGATAGAGCGTCTGCCTGTGGACTGAAGGGTCCCAGGTTTGATTCTGGTCAAGGGCATGTACCTTGGTTGCGGGCACATCCCCAGTAGGGGGTATGCAGGAGACAGCTGGTCAATGTTTCTCTCTCATCGATGTTTCTAACTCTCTATCCCTCTCCCTTCTCTGTAAAAAAATCAATAAAATATAGTTACTTTTTTATTTTTTAATAAAACTTTATTTTTCAGATTATTAGTTGTTCCTCTTTTTCCCCCATAGCTCCCCTCCATCCGGTTCCCACCCCACCCCCTACCCTTACCTTCCCCCACTGTCCTCGTCCACAGGTGTAAGATTTTTGTCCAGTCTCTCCCGCACCCCCCACACCTCCTTCCCCCCGAGAATTGTCAGTCCACTCCCTTTCTATGCCCCTGATTCTATTATATTCACCAGTTTATTCTGTTCATCAGATTTTTTATTCACTTGATTTTTAGATTCACTTGTTGATAGATATGTATTTGTTGTCACTTTGTTCATAATTTTTATCTTTACCTTTTTCTTCTTCTTCCTCTTTTTAAAGAATACCCTTCAGCATTTCATATAATACTGGTTTGGCGGTGATGAACTCCTTTAGCTTTTCCTTATCTGTGAAGCTCTTTATCTGACCTTCAATTCTGAATGATAGCTTTGCTGGGTAAAGTAATCTTGGTTGTAGGTTCTTGCTATTCATCACTTTGAATATTTCTTGCCACTCCCTTCTGGCCTGCATAGTTTCTGTTGAGAAATCAGCTGACAGTCGTATGGGTACTCCCTTGTAGGTAACTGATTGTTTTTCTCTTGCTGCTTTTAAGATTCTCTCTTTGTCTTTTGCTCTTGGCATTTTAATTATGATGTGTCTTGGTGTGGTCCTTTTTGGATTCCTTTTGTTTGGGGTTCTCTGCGCTTCCTGGACTTGTAAGTCTATTTCTTTCATCAGGTAGGGGAAGTTTTCTGTCATTATTTCTTCAAATAGGTTTTCAATATCTTGCTCTCTCTCTTCTTCTGGCACCCCTATAATTCGAATGTTGGTATGCTTGAAGTTGTCCCAGAGGCTCCCCACGCTATCTTCATATTTTTGTATTCTTTTTTCCTTTTGCTTTTCTGGTTGGGAGTTTTTTGCTTCCTCATATTTCAAATCTTTGACTTGATTCTTGGGATCCTCTAGTCTGCTGTTGGAAGTCTGTATAATATTCTTTATTTCAGTCAGTGTATGCTTAATTTCTAATTGGTCCTTTTTCATATCCTTGAGGGTCTCACTATATTTCTCGGAGGTTTCTAGAAGATTCTTGAGTAACCTTATAACCGTGGTTTTGAACTCTGTATCCAGTAGTTTGCTTTCCTCCATTTCTTTCATTTGTGACCTGTTTCTTTGTCTCCACATTTTGGCTGCTTCCCTGTGTTGATAGAGTGGCTTTGTGTGCTAGGTGTCCTATAGGGCCCAATGGCTCAGCCTCCCTAATTACCTGACGTGGACACTCTTGGTGCACCCCTTTGTGGGCTGTGTGCACAGTCTTGTTGTAGTTAAGCTTTGATTGCTGTTGGTATCACTGGGAGGAATTGACCTCCAGGCCAATTGGCTGTGAGGACCAGTTGTGTCTACAATGGGAGACTTCTGTGTTAGAGACACCCTTATGGGGCAGGACTTGCTTCAGTAGGGCTTTGGCGCTCACTGAGTCTGCCCCCTGAGTGTGTCTCTTACGGATGTGAAGAGTTATAATCTGGATGGTCTCACTCTGACCACTAGGTACACTGTCTCTTGGATCTCCAAGGAGGTGCAAATTCAGCCACTGCCTGAGGCCACCCAGCAGGAGCTACAGAGAGATCTGCAGATTCCTCCTCTTTGTTTGGGGTTTTGTGGTGCCCAGATGAGGCTCAGCTGTGAAACAATGCAGGCTGCTGATGAGCCTTAGTCCTTCTTTTGGAAGCTCTGGGGTTCTCTGACCCAGCTACAGTTTGACAGGTTTTTAGGCAGAGAAAGGCCAGGCCATTCGCATGTAAAAGCCTCTGTGCACAGCTTGGGTGGGGTTGTAAATTGGGTGGGGCGGGGTCTCAGGGAATCACCAGGGCAGAGCAAACCGCAATGGCTGCCAGTCTGCTCTGGCTCAGAGAGGTCCCGGGGTCTGTGTTCCGCGGCCCCATGCAGGAACAATGAACACTGCAAGCACCTCTGTGAGAAAGCCACCCTCATGTTCTGGCTCGATGCCAGACAGTCCAGTTTCTCTCTGTATGAGTCTCGGTCCCCATATTCTTGCCCAGAATTGGAGTTCAGAGCAGTCAGGAGCTTGTATCTCCCTCCCGATTGAAAAAGACAGCAGTGTACCCAGCTGCCAGTCCTTTTCGTACGCGTCTCTGTACCTCCCCACTTCCACACCTCTGCACCTCCTCCCGGGCTCAATGCACTTTTCTCTTTCCTTCTAGTTGTAGAATTTCCACTCAGCCAGCCTTCCCGTGGTTCTGGATGATATCAGTTTTGTCTTTTAGTTGTAGTTTTAATGTGGTTGTGCACGGCAGCAAGTTCAGGTGTTTACCTATGCCGCCATCTTGGTTGTCTCAATAAAATATATTTTTTAAAAAAAGGTTTATGAATGGCAAATAAGCATTTTGTTAGACATCAGGGAAATGAAAATTAAAACTATGTTGAACATCCAGTAGAATATTGTATATACATTTTACATTTTAAGAATACTAGGCGAATATTGAATCTTTTTAAAAAAATTTTTTTTATCCTCACCCAAGGATATGCTTATTTTGTTACTATAAAGAAGGAGAGAAAGAGAAACATCAATGTGAGAGAGAAACA